AGCCAGGAGAGAGAGAGAGCCAGGAGAGAGAGAGAGAGAGCGAGAGAGCCAGGAGAGAGAGCGAGCCAGGAGAGAGAGAGAGAGAGAGAGCGAGCCAGGAGAGAGAGAGAGAGCCCGGAGAGAGAGAGAGAGGGAGGAGAGAGATGCCAGGAGAGAGAGCGAGCGCCAGGAGAGAGAGCGAGCGCCAGGAGAGAGAGCGAGCGCCAGGAGAGAGAGCGAGCGCCAGGAGAGAGAGCGAGCGCCAGGAGAGAGAGCGAGCGCCAGGAGAGAGAGCGAGCGCCAGGAGAGAGAGCGAGCGCCAGGAGAGAGAGCGAGCGCCAGGAGAGAGAGCGAGATTCAGGCGAGAGAGCGAGCGCCAGGAGAGAGAGCGAGATTCAGGCAGGAGAGAACGCGAGGGAGGTGCTTTTTTCATTAGTAGATCTCATCGAGCTCGTCATTTAAAAAGTAGCTCTTGACAAAAGATTGTGGGCACTCCTGTACTATATAGATGTTGGTAGGGAGATTGTACAATCAGATTGTAAGGTGTGTGTCGAGCTTGAAGAGAAGTCCTGGGAGCGCTGGCTATCTGGATATTAGCGTCAATCCCGGATATATAGCAAAGCACAGATTTACCTTGTCGCTGTGCTCCATAAACTCAGCCAGATTGAGCAGAGTCTGAGTGACCTCAGCGATGTCCTGAGAGGTCAGGGCCAGCTCTATGCTGCGGATCAGTTCGTCTTGCTGATCTTCGTTCAGCTCCGACCAGCAGGAAAGGAAGGCCGCGTTAAAGAGATCTCTGCATCAAAGTAAAAGAAATATTTAGCCACATTTCCAACATTCCTGGACCCCCCAAGATGAACCTGAAATAAAGCTGAGGGACCTACCTGGCCAGGGGATTGTAGGCCTGGGCTAACGACCAGCAAGATCGAAGGGCGGGGGAAGAGGAATCTTTAAGCAGCTCCACGCTCAGCCGTCTCAACCACTCCAACCAGTCGTCTTTGGAGACCCTGCGGGCCGCCCCCCAAGCCTGTGGGATGAAGAAGGCCAATTAAAAGACTGCAGCCTATTCTGTTGCATCGGCAAGACTGTGGAAATCACGATATAGAACTTATACATTCATTAAAGCTGAACTACGGGATGAACCGCTATTGACCTCATACAAGAGCCACCCTGGAGAGCTCTGTCTATTTCTTCCAGATCCGTGTAGTAATCCAGTGTGAGACCTTCCTGTAATAAAGACCAGTCACCACTGCTCTCGCTCCTTGTGCAGGGTGACTGGTCTTGTCTCCGCCCCTTCCTGCAGTTTCCTGTAGTGGGTGGGGTCTGCCGAGTCCCTCCCTCAGCTCTGCTCTCTGCACAGGCTATGTACAGCACAGTGATGATGCCTCTTTTACAGGGTAGTCAGGGTTTGCAAAAGCATTTGGTACTCACAAAGTGCTGTTTAACCTTGGTGGCTTTTGATGATTTTTTTTTTTCTTAATTAATGATTTTGTATTTGGAGTTCAGCTTTAAAGGAGAACTATGGGGTCAGTGTTTTTCCCCATAGTTCTCCTCAGCATCACGGGAGGACACAAACTAGCGTCCTCCCGTGACCCAAAGCTCAGTATATCGCGAGCTACAGCTCACTGTATACTGAGACCGCCACAGCCGGGACGGATCCCGACATTACTGTCTGGATCCACCCAGCTGCGTGATTGACAGCTGGCTCAGCTTATCTAGAGGCAGAGCCAGCTGTACCCGCCCCCTCCCCCGTCTGTTCCGCTAGTCAGCGCTGGAGGATCGGAGCGGGGAATCCCTGCAGGGAGCTGTGAGTGACATTCACTGCTCTCTGCAGGGACAGGATCGAGAAGTGAGCGAGCGGCGGTATGTGTTCCCTCACTGCCCGATCTATTGAGCCGACCTGTGACAGTTTCATTGTCACAGGTCGACTCACCTCATAATTCTCCTTTAAGATACAAAAATCGGTTTAGCCTTCTTTCTGTCCAAAATGTTTTCTGAGTTGGGCTTTAAGTGGATTATATATGGTACACTGGCATCCAAAACATGGAATACAGAGGCTTAAAAGCAAGCCAGTCCTCTTTAGGTAACCCATGGTGCTCTGGAAATTCTTTTTTCATATATTTAAAGTAAACCTGTACTAGAAAAAGTAACAAGCCAAGTTGACATATTCTTGGCACAACAAACTAAAAACTGTTCCATTTATGTCGCAACAATACTCTTCAAAGCAATCCTTGAGCCCAGTGAAATCCCTCGACTTCTGCATTTAGGGGCATGCCCTCCAACATCAGAAAGTGACATATGGCACCTGCTATCTGCCTAATAGCTACACATAATCCAACATTACCCAGCACAGAAACACAATGGGGGAAAATCATAGCAATTGCGAGTGTTTGAACTTGCACGGAATATATTTGATGCACTTTGCGCCATATTTATGTTGCTAGTGTAATGTTGTTCATAAATGAGGTTTAATAGACTCCAGGAAAGAAGACTTGTAACTCCGGGCAAAAAAGCTAAAAGAGAACTACGGGGTAAGTGTTTTTCCTCATAGTTCTCCTAAGGGTCACGGGAAGATATATACTGGCTTAAGATTTATATACCAGCATCCTCCCGTGACCCAAAGCTCAATATATAGCGGGCTACTGCCCGCGGTATACTGAGAGCGCCGCCGCCGGGACGGATCCTGACAATGCTGCCGAGATCCACCCAGCTGTGTGATTGACAGCTGGCTCTGCCTATCTAGAGGCAGAGCCAGCTGTACCCGCCCCCTCCCCCGTCCATTCCTCTACTCAGCGCTGGAGGATCGGAGAGGGGAATCCCTGAGTGCAGCGGTGACTGACAGTCACCGCAGGGAGACGATCGAGAAGTGAGCAGAATGATCATGTTTCTGCTCACTTCCCGATCGATAGAGCCGACCTGTGACAGCATCTTTGTCACAGGTCGGCTCCAACTATGAGGATGAGTGGAAATCACTCACCTCATACTTCTCCTTTAAGTTGTGATTGTTTTGTTGGTGATGCTCCAGTTGCAGACAGCCGCAGGACAAGTGCAGATTAAAACAAGTGCAAAACATGTGCAGTTGGAATAGTGCAAGCTCTGGTCAAAACAGGGGCACGTGTTAAAAGACAGATTTGCACATAATGAAAAAATGAACCGAGAGGCTAAAACTGTCGCAATTGCATTGATAAATTCCGCCCCCCCAGTGTATCCGACATACAACTGTGTCACATACATACCTTCTGCAAGTTGGTGGTGCTAACATGCAGCTTCTTCATCGGTCCAGTGTCCAAGGGGTTGCTGGAAAAAGGCTCACCCTGGTTCCCCTTAAGGGTCCGATGTTGGTAAATCAAAGGATCCTCTTCCTCGTCAGCCAGAGTGTACCCCTAAAATGCGAACAGTCCCAGATGTGAGAGGAACAGAAACAACGGGGCTCTGTGCCAGCTATACAACCTTTTTAGGTATTTATATACGTGTGAAAAATACAAATCATTCTTATTACATCAAGTACATATAAAATATAGCATACTATCCCACCTCAACCTGACCACTCATCACATTCTCAAACAATTCATCCCCACACAGCTCCCTCCACATGTATCACTGGCCCCTCCTCTTTTAGATTGTAAGCCCTCAGGGGCCGGGCCCTCCTTACCATCTCGTCTTGAATTGTGATTGTAATGTCTTCCTTATATTGTAAAGCGCTGCGCAAACTGTTGGCGCTCTATAAATCCTGTATAATAATAATAATAATATGATTGCTCTGCTTTATGTTACTGAACCAGAAGCTTTGGGTTCCTTTACATGTTTTAAAGGCTCTATGTTTCTTTTTTTAATAAAAGCACGATGCCTCATTGCAGTGATTTATTGCTTATTGGATAACTCAAAAATGTCAGCAAGACAAACTGACCCCAAAAGCAAACGGCTCTGCCATGCCGTGTCTTTTGCTAATCCACAGTGCCCTGGAAATCCTTTCTCATGGATTAAATGCATTTAAAAAAACAAAAACAGTATGTCTATAGTAAACAAAAACTAAAAAAAAAAAAGCATGTATATACATTAAAAAAAAAAAATAGATCTGACCCTCTGCATGAGCCAGGTACATGTTTGCTTTAAATACAAAATGGTTTAAGTGTCTGAATTTCAACCTAAAAGTGAGGACATCCTGTGAGTGAACGGCATGGGACCCCCTGTTTGAGGGGTGTCACTACCGTGCCCTGCACACATAGCGTCATGATACAGGGAGAGGTGCTGACTTCATCATTGTCAGCATCAGAGCTGCCCAACACCATAGAGATTTTGATGGAGACCCTGTGCTTTAGGGCTGCAGCTTACGATTATTTTCATACTCGATTAGCTACCCGATTAATTTTTCAACTAATCGATTGGTTGTATAAAAAAAAAAAATGCTCTCTCTCTCCTTCCCCAACCAACTAATCGATGATGAGAATAGTTGCCAAACATTCTCATAATTGATTATTATTGATTTAGTCGATTAGTTGTTGCAGCTCTACTGAGCTTTACATTACGGCCAAGGCAGGGGGCTGAACCTGGAGTTGGGCTTTAAAACATTACAAATGTAATAGTCACTCAGAGTAACTGCTGATGCTGGGGAGCCGGACGGGCTTGGCCAGAGTGCACCCGCTATTCTCTCTAGTGCTGCCGTGAGGGAGAGGGGATATTGGGCTATGGAAGTTACTTCTTACAAATGTAATTCTTAGTCTATAAAGAGATTGAGATAAAGAGTGAACCATCACACCAAGCTGTTGGTTTTCCATGGCGTGAGACTGGCTTTGATCTTCTGCCCTATTTTTATATTGATGTCTGAAGCCTTCAATGCCAGATCTCCCCCACTTCCTACAATGACCACCAAGGTTTAGCTGTGAACTTACTGGCTCCCATAGCAGCAATGCAGTCACGATTCATTGCCATGGAGAACACACTAGAATATGGTCATACCGGCATTAAGAAATCACATCTCCCTCATCAAACGTACGAGTACCAGCACGTCAGCTCACACAGTAACCCTGGCCAGCATGATGAGGCTGGTGGTGTGGAGTGGCCTCTGCAATGTAGCACAGACCAGGTGGGGGTCAAACTCTTCTACACACCAGCAAAGAACTAAAGGTTTGAGCTCAAGAGGGCGATTTCACAAGGGGGAATCTGTCCCAGATATTGATATCTTTATTATGAACATATTGTGAAAAGTGCCACCCACTGGGCAATTAAAAAGCACGCCTCTGTACTGACCTTCAATATCCTGCACGTCAGAACTTCATAACGTTGGTGTAAAATTCGGTGTTTCACCAGCACTTTATTCACCATTGGAATGAATATATGATACTGGAAAAAAAGGGGGGTGGAGGGGGGGGGGAAGAGTTATATAAATGGCGTATTCCCAGCTAACATGAGTCATTTAATATTCAGTATAGTTGGTATGATAATTATATAAAAACACACATGGTGGCAGCATGACTGAAAAGATACACACCAACCTGTTCCTAAGTTCTGGGGACCCTCTTCCTTTCATTGTTGAGGAAAGGAAGTCGCAGGCTGGTCTATCCCCTCCACGGTGTAGTTCCACTTTAGCAGTCCAATTTGATAAAACCACACTATAGTTTGTTATGTGTTGCTATTCACACGGCAGCCCCCTCCTTAACATTAAGGGGGTTATTCACAAAAAGTTGAAGTGTTTGGAGAGTGCCGGAGAAGTGAACAATTTGGGCCAAAATAACCGATTTGGAAAAATTCCGCTCACTTTCCGGTTCAGCGATGTTGTCCTAGATTGTTCACTTCTCCTCCCTTCTCCAAACGCTTCACCCTTTTGTGAATAACCCTGTGAATGTTTCTGGACTCTTCCGCAATCAGAAGAGATTGGAAGGTATGTGTGGTCACCCGCTTCTCATTCAAAGGGCAACTAGACTGTGGTTTTGATAAGGAACACAAAACTTACTAAGGGCTAGTTCAATCCAGGCCGTAATGCACTGGATTGCATTCTGGGCCCGCGCACTTTGTTGTGAGGCGGCGTGGCGGTGCGGTGGTGGATTGAAGTCAATAGCACCGCAGCCACACCCCCGGCCATAATGCGATCACCCGCACCTGAACGCGTGGCGTGCCTGCTTTCCAAGCCGGTGCAGTAACAAAAAATGCTGCAAGCACGATTATTTCTGACTGCACCAGACCGGAACGCAGACACCAATGTGCCACGCATTTGGGTGCGGGGAATCACATTGCGGACGGAGGGCGTGGCTGCGGTGCCATTGACTTCAATGCACCTCCATGGCCCCTCCCGCCTCAAACAAAGTGAGCCGGCCCGGAATGCGATCCAGTGCGTTCTAGCCCCAATCGGGCCAGAACGCACTGTGGCCGGTGTGAACTAGCCCTAAGTTCACCTTCTCGCTGTATATCGTACTACATTACGAAACAATTTAAAAACACAAGAGAGCAAAATTGGGTGATTCCTATGAAAACCTGCACAGACATACCCAGCCGTCTCTCTCACATTAACACAGGGGGTAGGCAACCTCGGCACTCCAGCTGTTGTCGAACTACAAATTCCATGAGGCATCGCAAAAATTTGAACGCAAATGTCAAGCCGAAATCAAAAATGTTTTTGATTTGAACTTTTTCAAATATTTTAATTTTATTTTGTATAAACTTTGTAATGTTTATATTTATTTATCGATTCATTTTTTTAAAAATAAATATTTTTATTTTTTACTTAAAAATTTTAGGGGCTTAGGGGAAATATTATTTCCTAATTCTATTCTGTTGGGCTATATTCATCTCCTCACTATATCAGAAGAGAAAATAGAGGAAGGGTTAAAACTAGAGGTTCAACTAAATGGAACTTTCAGACAGAGACTAAAAAAAATTGTCAGGCTGAACATTTTTAAAAAAAATGGTTTTACAAATATTTTGTTATTGGAGTTATTTTTTTTTTTTTTTTACTCTGTCGGGCGTTGAGGGAAATTTCCCTTTTAAAATAGAAAAGGAGATTGAGAACGCAGAGTCCTCAATCTCTTTTTCTGCAGCCCCTGTTATGAATGAACAGGAAGTCTCTATACTGTGTGTTCATGTTCAATCATAACATGAGGACATTGTGTGTTTACTATAACCACAATCATGAATGGACAGGAGGGGATGTAGGTTACTTCCCATTCATTCATAATTGAGGATGTAGTAACCATACTCTGTCCTCAATTATGTACAAACACTCAGCGATCACTGACTGCTTGTACCGCTCGCCTTCCTGACTCGCTGTCACAGGAAGCTGAGCGAGTGGAGCTCAGCCTGCTGTGACAGCGCTGTCTCCGCCCACACCGCTCTGCGATAGTTGGCTGAGCGGTGTGGGAGGAGAGATGCCGGCCGCTCACAGCGCTCTCCTCCCGCGGCGCTCAGCCAGCTGTCACAGTTTCTCTCCTCCCCGCTGGCACACAGAGCGGGGCGGAAAGAAAGAACTGATGCGCCGATGTATCGGCCAGAACAATGGCACTTTTGGCATCATCCCATATGTATGACTGACTTTTAAAGTGACACTAAGTTCAATCTTAAAAATGCATTTAAGAACCAACAACAATGTATCTTATTTGTGTATCACTCGGCTGTAGATCCTCCAATCATCTCTGAATTGGTGCCAACACTGTCCTTCCTTCTGGAGGGGGGCTACGTCTGTTCCCCATGGTCCCTGTGTGTGTTGTAAAGTAGGCACCGCTCCAAAACAAGACACATTTTTAAGATTTAACTCCTGAGTTTAGCGTCACTTTAAGCCTTCAGGCCAGCGTGTTCCCTGGTTCTACCTCCACTCTCTACTGGAGCCCACAGGAGACTCTCACACAATGTGCAGGAGGTTTTAAGAGCGTGAAATCAGGTGACTCGAGTCCTATCCACAATGAAAAACACAGATTAAAAGGTAAACTGCGCTCTCTGAATGTAGCAGATTGGCATTTTTTGCTGCCGGATGATATTTTACTTGCTCGTCTGGAGCTGCTCACTAATGAACCGTGCATAAGAATAAGACTGGAGAAGTCAGCCAAGATGATCAGGTCTGTACCTTCTTCCCCAGCTGGAAGACCAGGGAGGAAAGTGTGTCCATGGAGGTCGGTCGCAGCTCAGCGCTGACGTCCAATGTGCGGACAATGGGGTGAATTATTCGGGAGGCGTAATCTGTGAAATCCAGCGATTCTGTCAGTCGGTCCACAGTCTCCAGAGCCACCCTGGAAAATATGACAGAAATCATTTCAATTTCAATGAACGGAATCACTTTTTACCAGTGGGGAACTCTGATACTTCCAGCTGCGTTATATCCATATTTACCATAAGTATAAAGTCTTTGCATTATGAAAAACAATGCACTACATGACAAAGGATTCTCAGAGAACTACGGGTTAAGCTAAAATAAATCCCAAATCCCTATGGGTTACCTAAAGAGACATCAGATGCAGCTTGCTTTGAGAGGCTGCTTGTAAAATTTCAGACCCGATGTCCAATAAGGCAGTGGTCCTCAACTAATACAACCTCAGGACCCACATTTGTCCCTGGTCATTAAGTCGCACCACACTGGACCGCAGGACATTACGGAACTGTATGTTCCGATGCAAGCGATCAAACTGTGGGCGGGAGGTGCTTTTGGGGTTCCATTCAAATGAATGGCAGCGCAACGCACCTCCCACACAACCACAGACACACTCCAAACATTTTATTTAGGGGTTCAGTGTGGGCTGCTGTGACGGAGCTCCATCCATACGTGCGTTGCTTGTACAGCTCCCTTGCGCTCCCTGTAGAGGTGCCGGGAGCCAGAATGTAAAGTCACTCCGGTAACACGAGGGAGTTGTAAGCAAAACACATATGGATGGAGCTCCCTCGTGGCCATACCGGCGGCCCTCCCCACCTCAAGCTGACATTCAGCACCGGGCAGTATATTCTGAATGGCTGCTCGGCATGAGAACTGACAGTGCTGCGCTATGGGGGAGGCTGAGGCGCCTCTCACCTAGCGCAGTGAAAGGAACGTGGCGACCCACTGAACATGAATATGAAAAAAATGAGTAGAGTCCCTGCTGCCTAAAACAAAAAATCTATATATTTTATAGTGCCGACATAAAAACATTGAGAATAAAGTAAAACTCCAGGGAAAACGATTATTAACCCTTGCATTGGGGGCTAGCCGTGCACGGCAAGGGTTAACTGCTCTGGTCAGCTTTTGGTCTTAGGAGGAAAATAAAGCTATATTCACCTGATCCTCTGAGCTGGCTGGGGGTTTGGGAGAGGCACCAGGGACCGCTCTAATGCTCTAAGAGCCAGCCGATGCCTTTTTTTCCCCTCCCTAGACACAAATGAGCACTTAACCCTTGCAGTGCGGGGGTAGCCCCCCCCCCTGCAAGGGCTAATCATTTCCCCCGGAGTTCTTTTTTAATCAAGAACAAAACCACTATAAACCTTCCTTCAAGTCTGAGAACAGAGCATTATCTGATTAAGAGTCGGCTCTTACTTCCGTGCTGGTAAAGGTGCGTCTGATGCATCGAAGAGCTTTACGATAGGCGGTAACATGAGATGTAAGTAATCATCTAAATTGGCCCCAAACATCTGGATAGCGTTGAGAAGCTAGGCGAGGGACGAATAAATAATTAGTATAATAAGTGATACAATTAGATGACTTTCTTGTGCACTGCTACTTTTTCCCCCTCATTAGGTACCTTAATAGTCACCGATCGCCCGGCGCTGCTGTCATGCATGAAGACTCGGAGGATGTGTGGAATAAGCTGAGGCAAGTACAACTTGAACTCCCCCCCCAGCGCCAGCACAATCTGCTCAATCAGTAGAATGATGGTGCTCTGAATGGGATTGTTCATAGTCCAGTAATCCTGCAGAGAACAAGATGACAGAATATGGATCAGGCAGCAATCTAAAGAAAAGCTTCTGCAGTTTAATAGGCACATCTCAAGCACTAGTCCGCAGCCGTCCACCTATCATAGACATTCCTATCAACAAGGCCCAACAACCAATGTGGGGTAAAGAGTAGTGTGTGCAGATGGAAGAAGTGTGCTGGGGAACAAACTAACTAAAATTCTCTGGTCAAGAATTCTTGGCGCTCACTTTCAGCAGCAGCTCATACGTGTGCAATAGTACTCGGAGCCCACGCTGGCATGGTGATGCCCAGGCGGCGTGTCCATAGCATCTGGGTTGAATGATGGTGGCTGTTATTCATCCCAGAAGACCAGTGACATCTAGGGGCAGGAATGAATTACTGCAGGGGACAACTCTGGATGCAACACATCTTGGATTTTTTTTAAATTACTTTATGGCAAACATGTAGATGCTCCTGCCATTGCTTTATGATTGTGTGTGTTATTACTTTATGGCAAACATATACACGTCTCTGCCATTGCTTTATGATTGTGTGTGTTATTACTTTATGGCAATAAGGCCTTGTTCACACCAAATGCAGAGCAGATCCGGTCAGGTTTCTGCACACGCACGCTAGTCTTTTAGATGCGTTTGACTAAAAAAAACAAAACTATTTTTTTTTTAAAGTTTAACATGGGCTTTCAGTGCGTTCCAGGCATTTGCATGCGGTTTTGATGCGTTTGCAGATCCCGAGCAGGTAAGATAGGGCCTGCTGCAGTTTTTTCACCTGCTCTGGAACTGCATGCTGCAATGTGAACTGGAGCAAAAAATACCATTGGAATACATTGGACGCAGTTTTGATCCGGTCTGCAACTGATCTGCGCTTGGTGTGAACAAGGCCTCAAACATATACACACGTCTATGCCATTGCTTTATAATTGGTTGTGTTTACTTTTTCTATCATTTTTTACAGTAAGTCGTCACCAAGTACAGGTTACCTCCTTAATGGAAACTAGCCTTGGCTTCCCCTGCGTTTTGCCTCCTGGGTCTGTTTGGCGAGTTGCCATTATCTTCGGGAGCTTTTATTTTCTGCCAGAAAGGCTATTCTGCTAGTCCGTGGTAGCCCTAAGGTTCCCTCTCTGGGCGGCTGGAAGCGATTGGGTCATCAAGCATTGACCCTCTATAATTTTACATATGAGCAGCGGGGCAACCCTCTACGCTTTGATCGTATTTGGGGCCCCTGGCTCTCTTCTAATACAACTGTAGATTTCATTTAAATGCACCTACTGCTTTGTGTTATACTGGAGTTCTTGCTCCTCTCCCACATTCCATAAAGTGCACTGCAGTCAATTGGTACGTCTGCTAATACATCTGTAATGAACCTGTAATGAACCTGTATTCTGCCTGTGGATTTTCTCCTCCGCTCTGGAGTCTGTAAGCTTGTAGGTTGTATGACAATTGTTCCTGGGTTATGTTGGCCCGCTTGTTTTTATATTGTTTTTTGTGTTAATTTATACAACATTTGATAACACCAATAAAAAGCATCTTTAAAAAAAAAAATTGTGACTAAGTTATTTATTTTAAGTAGATCACAGTAAATACTAAAGGCCGTCATTGTTCATGGGACACGGAGTGGTGATAGAAGATTTGTTGGATGTTATGTAACGAAACCAACAACCGTGACATGAATGCCAGATATTTTTCCGGGAATTTACAGCTGACAAAAGGCCAATTCCTCCTTCGACTTTTCAACAAGGATTCACCACGGGAGAATTATAACTAACAATCGGTCAGCACAAAGCTGCCACCTGCACTCCTCAACGGGCGGGAGAAGATACATTTATACTTACTTTTATCAGGGTGAAGATCTCATCCATGTAAGGGCGAATATGACTCCGCACAAAGGAGACCAACATCCCCAACTGCTGGAACATGAACTGAGGAGAGAGAGAAGGGGCACAGATGAAACAAATCACAAGAGCAAGATGTAGTCCTCAGTCACATAAGCATGCAATTATATGCATATATAGGACATCTCTAAGACCCCATTCACACTGCGCGACATGGAGAATCGCGCGTTTCGTGCGATTTTGATCTAGATTGAGCGATAGTGCACTTTGTCGCGCTACATAGCGCGACTTTTGGGAGGGACTTCGTCGCTGCTACATTGGGCTGTAACCAATCAACAGCGGTCCTGATGCGACATCATTCATTCCTTCCATATTGCTGTGCAAAAGTGACCCTTCATTAGCGCGATATCGCCGGTAATGCGCAACATTGAGCCTATTGGGGCCAAAATAAATAGCTCATGTTCGAGCTACAAGCTTGAGCGACGAGCTACAGGCGACATTGAGCTGTGAGATGTGAACAGCTCCATTGAAATGCATTGGACGAGCTACATTGAGCGACATTGCGTGGAAATAGGCGCGATTCTGGAGCGGGAAATCGTGTGACAAACCGCTCTGTGTGAACGGGGTCTAAGTGCATATAAAGATTTTAAATGGTATATTTCACACTGCTCCAGGTGTATTCGGTTTATCGTTGCTGAAGATTCCAGCAGCAAAACAGGCTGCAGCGCTGGATTAATGGTGTTCACATCCAGAAGAGGGTGAAAGTTCAGTTGTGTCCAAGGATGGCTTTTAAAAGGAGAACTATGAGGTGAGTGCTTTTCACTCACCTCATAGTTCTAGCCGACCTCTGACAATGAGACTGTCACAGGTCGGCTCAGTAGATCGGGAAGTCAGCGAACACATACCGGCGTTCGCTCACCTCTCGATCCTGTCACGGCTCTCTGCCGTGACAGGGGAGGGGCTGGATTCCCCCCTCCCCGCTCCGCCAGCGCTGACTGGCGGAACGGACGGGGGAGGGGGCGGGTACAGCTGGCTCTGTCTCTAGATAGGCAGAGCTAACTGTCACTCACGCAGCTGGGCGGATCTCGACATCGATGTCTGGATCCGCTCTGGCTACGGCGTCTCAGTGTACCAGGAGCTACAGCTCGCGGTATACTGAGCTTAGGGTAACGGAAGGACGCTAGTTTGTGTCCTCCCGTTACCCTAAGGAGAACTATGGGGAAAAGCCCTGACCCCATAGTTCTCCTTTAAACACATATGTAGAAAAACTTACTTACTTTACAAAAATCTCTATTTCACCATAAAAGTAGCTTCACAAACCTAAAAATACCCCTCTTAACAGTCTGAACCCCAGATGGTAGCAATGACTGATAAATGTCTGCGCTCACATATTTCTGAATAGAAAATAACAATTGATAGCAAAGTGGAAGCAATTAATTACTAGACGGCACTACCAGAAGACGGCGATCAGCATTTACAGAAGACGGTAATCGGCTTTATCAGAGGGTGGTGATTAAAGGCCAGGGGGTGGAGCTTACCTGGGGCGACATTAATCCTGTCCTCTTCTGGGCCGAAGTCAGAACAGAAAATAAAAGGAGGTAAAAGAGACATCTCATTAGGTTGAGGAACATGGACAGTAATCACAATGACTGGAAATACTTATAAATTTGTTACATTATTTCCTAATTCTATTCTGTTGGGCTATATTCATCTCCTCACTATATCAGAAGAGAAAATAGCGGGAGGGTTAAAGGAGAACTATGGGGTTAAGGCTTTTCCCCATGCATCTCCTTAGGGTAACGGGAGGACACAAACTAGTTACCCTAGGCTCAGTATACCGCGAGCAGCACTGAGACGCCGCAGCACTGCCTATCTAGAGGCAGAGCCAGCTGTACCCGCCCCCTCCCCCGTCCGTTCCGCCAGTCAGCGCTGGCGGATCGGAGAGGGGAGGGGGGAATCCAGCCCCTCCCCGTCACGGCAGAGAGCCGTGACAGGATCGAGAGGTGAGCGAACGCCGGTATGTGTTCGCTCACCTCCCGATCTACTGAGCCGACCTGTGATAGTCTCATTGTCACAGGTCGGCTAGAAATATGAGGTGAGTGAAAAGCACTCATCTCATAGTTCTCCTTATAACTAGAGGTGCACCGAAATGGAATTTTCAGACCGAAACTGAAACTAAAAAATTTGTCAGCCTGAAACAGAAAATTATTTGTTTTTTTTCTAACCTTTTATTTTTTACAAATATTTACTTATTTATTTTTACTTTACTGTCAAGGCTTTGGAGAAATATCGGGGGTCTAAAACAGACCCCTATTATTTCCCTTTTGAAATAGAAAAAGAGATTGAGAACACAGAGTCCTCAATCACTTTTCCTGCAGCCCCTGTTATGAATGAACAAGAAGTCTCTATACTGAGTGTTCCTGTCCATTCATAAAATGTGGATATAGTATAAGTTACTGTGTTCACAATCATGAATGAACAGGAAGTGATGTAGAGCACTTCCTGTTCATTCATAATTGGGGACACAGTAAATATACTTTGTCCTCAATTATTTACAAACCCTCAATGATCAGCTGATCTCTCAGTGCTTGTAACCGCTCTCCATTATGACTGACTGTCACAGGAGACTGAGCGGGCGGTGCGGGGAAGAGAGCTCGGTCTCCTGTGAGACGGCTGACAGCCGACTCCTTTCCCACATTGCCGGCTCGGCCTCCTGTGACAGCTGGTAGCTATTAAAAAAACAAAATAATAATCCCAGCACACTTACCAGCTGGCCTGCAACAACACAAATTTGCCCTGTAACAGTATGCATTAAAAACTGATAGTTGTCTCCGCCCACGACGCTCTTAATCCTAATTTGCCTGTTATGGGGCGGTGCGGCAGGAGAGCTCGGCCTCCTGTGACACCGCTGGCAGTGCTCTCCTCCCTGCCCTGCTCAGCCTCCTGAAAGTTTCTCTTCTCCCCACAGGACACTGCTCTGTGTTAGAGGGGATACAGAGCAGCTCCCAGCGAGGAGAAGAGAAACTGGGGGTGCACCGCATTTTCGGCCAAATAGTACTTTTGGCAATTTGCCAAAGTACCATCTTCAAACTAAATGTTTCGGTCCGAAATTTCGGTGCATCCCTAGTAAAAACCCCTAATTGGTTCTTATTGCTTGGGAAAGTGGATACGAGGAGCTGGAACTATGAAGATGCTTTATATGTTTCTGTTATTGATGTCTAGGGCTGCACCTAATGATTAGTTTCATAATCGATTAGTTGGCCGATTTTTTTTCCCCGATTAAATTGGATAAAAAAATTAAATAACATCCTTAAACGTAAAATAAAAACGTAAAATACACAAATGCCGTGTTACAAAGTTTACATCAGAATAAAACTGCATGCACAATTGTTTTGCAATTGCACTGCACTGGAACGCACAGCATTGCGGTACTGTGTGTTCCAGTGCGGGTGATCACACTGTGGGTGGGAGGCGCGTTTGGGATGCCATTGAAATGAATGGCACTGCAACGCACCTCCAGCAGCAGAATTCGTCAGGCCGAAACCGAAAATGACTTTATTCCCACCTTTAATTAAAATGTTTTAAAGAATTGTATTGTAAGCACATGGCGTTTAATTAGCTTCAGCCAGGAAATGACGGCTGCCAGTGGCAAGATTCCGCAGACGGCAGCTAAAAGTAATTACAGCAGGTAGTGGGCGGGTGGAATAGCCAGCTTGCTATTGGCCATTTCAAATTGCAATAGCAGGCTGGCTATTTCACCCGCTCACTGCCTGCTGTGCCCTCCTCCCAGCGTGGAGGCGAGAGCTAGGGGATCCAACCAACTAATCGATAATGAGAATAGTTGACAACTATTCTAAAAAAACAACATCAACAAATCGATTAGTTGGTTGCAGCCCTATTGTTGTCATCCAATAGTATGGCAATGGTATAAATGTAGAGAATCTAATTATTGACCTGGCAGCTTCCGCACATTGTAGGCCTCCCACAGTCACTATGGGTTGTGGTAGCGTTGAGTGAAATTAGAATTAAAGCACCACAATGTAATATTCAAGTCCAAATTAAAGTTTATACCAATGACAGATTGCTTGCAAAGCCAATGCTCTTCAAGGGATGTACCTCTGCTCCCTTCATTGGGTCTTGGGAAAATGAAACAGTGTATGTGGACTGAGGATGTTATTGAAGCGTGAGTTTGCACAGCGTCCGTTAGCAGCTGGTTGGCTATTGGCTGCTTGGACCAGCTGCTGACGGACGCTGTGCAAACTCACAACACTTCCATAACATCAATCTATAGACTGATTATTGTGTCCACAATCATGGTTTCCTTTTCCCAAGACCCAATGAAGGGAGCAGAGGAACAGCCCCTTAAAAAGCGTTGTATAAAACTTGTATTTGGACTTGAATATCACCATTTGGCACCTCAATTCTAAATTCGATCAGGTATTTATTGCTGTCTGTGTGCCCTCTGCAGAGATTCACCGACACTATTTGTCCTGGTCATCACTGTCATGTGTACAGGAAGTGATGGAGTGCCAACATTTTTAAGTCTGCAGGCTGAATGAAGAAAACATATCAGATTGCTCCATCAACGCTTACAAGCAGGCTGTTTCCATTGTTCTGATAGTCTGCAAGCTCCATTTGGCTGAGACTTTTCCATCCTGCCCCTTTGATCAGCTGATCGAGGGATGCCGGGCGGAAGGGTGCCGACAGGGGAAGCCACTGTGCGAACTTCAGTGGGTGCCCCCCCCCCCCAAATTCGGACTGTATATAGGCTACTTAAGAGGGAGACGCCCTCACTCTAACTTTGTTATTTCTGGGACAGGACATAAAGCCCCTCAAGGTTATCGTAAGAAGTGACAGAAATCGAAAATACTTCCAATCGGGACACGGTATTAAAAGGAAATCACTTCAATGGGAACACAGACAGCAATAGGCCTGCGTGATCCGCTCTAGGTGGGTAACAAATGTGATAGTTCTTCAGGACTTACTTGAGGAGAAGGTTGGTGAGACTGTGGGGAGAAGATATAAAACAGACAGATCAGTAACATCCCAGAAAAGAGAACCCTGTTATTCATCAAGCCCCGAAAAGAAGCCCTGCGTGGATACACACCTCCCGCACGTTGCTGTCGCACAGGCGAATGACGCTCAGGAACGTCGGCATCACTTGAGGTAGAAACTGGACACATTTCAGTCCTAAAGACTTGAAGATGAAGGTGATGGCTTGAACCACCATGGTGTGATGGTTAGACAGAGACTGGTCCCTCAGGATCCGCATTAGGGTGACCACAGAAACAGCTGGGTAGAACTCATCTAGGGGCAGATTGCCCATATTCACCAGCATCTCACTGGTACTGAACTCAGCTGAAAGAGAAGAGGATATAAAGTGTAACGAGCCCGTGAAGAGTCCCATCATTTAGGATTATCCTAAAGCCAATTTAACAAAGGATCTTATCTCCTCTACTATGACTACAAAGCAATTATTGTCTGTAAAGTCTAAGCTTGAACAATAATAGCAAATCTACAACTTTCCCTAAATGTGCCTTAGATGTACACAACCCATGCTGGGTTCTTTTTACGGTGGTCACATGACAGCTTGATCCCTTTATTCTTTCACAAGCTCCAAGGGGTGGGGTGGTGACTAAAAGCAAAGTAGAGTTTTCTGATGATTTCACCAACCCCAGGAGCTCTTTCACTCTATGGAGACCTGTGTCATTTAGGTTGGCCATGGAGCGTGTCTGAAACAACCTGACCACGGAAATACAGCCACTCCATGTGTTGGATCGGCATCCTCTAAGTCCCAAGGAGGAAGCAGAGATGCATCTGATCACTCGAGCATGGATCTCCTCCTGCGCTTAGCGTGGTCAGAAACATTCAGGAAAGACTTCTTGATCAATAGGACTTTATTTAGTATACATAGAATTTTTTATTTCAATAAAAAGGAACCAATATATGTATAGTGAGAGTGAAATACATGTAGAGTACTGTAGAGGCAAGTCTATAAATGTTGCCACTTCCTTACCAGAGTCCTGGTTGGTCTTAGACTCGGAAAGGCTGAGAGCGGATGCATCCCGAGACTGGTCAATCATTCCAATGTTCACTTTGTGCTTATATGGGTCCAGAGCGCCCAACAGGCCCAGCACCCGGATAGCCTGAAAGAAAACATGTTTGATCAGCCCTGGAGGGTCTTTTGGTCACAATACTATAGGGTGACCTAAGCTTGATACAGTATAACTCACTTCCCGGCGAATGCCTTGGTTCTGCTCAGTCTTCAGGAAGTTTAGTAGCACCTCCAGCAAAGACGGGTACTTCCGATATGGCTCTACCACATACCCTGTGCTAGCTACCAGCTGCCCGAGGGTCCACAGAGCCACCTAGAGAGAAAAACAGGGTGTCAACCATCTTGCCGGAGTCCGTTCCAGTTCTCACAATGAGATAGGACCGCACTTACCTGTCTCTTCGCCAGCAGAGACGAATCCTGCAACATATCCATGATAATTGGGAATAATTCATCCATCCACTTTCTCATCTCCAGCCCACTGACCTGGAAGGGAGAAGGACAACATCTGTTAAGGACATCGGTTTGGGAGACTTCTATGATGATTTAGAAGTTACTTCTCCCTTTGACTATAGCAACTCCCTTCTTCCTCTATGCAAACTATTCCCCCTTCAGTCTATCATAAATGCTGCTGCTAGACTCATCCACCTGACCAACAGCTCTGTGTTCGCCATCCCTCTCTGCCAACCATCCACTGATGCAACAAATAAAATTCAAGAACATAACATGCAAAGTCATCTACAAATCTGCTCCCGGCTACATCACCACCCTTATCTGAAAATATCACCCAAACTGTTCTCTGCTCCTCCCAAGACTTCCTTGCTCTCCAGCTCCCTCAACTCCATCCCCCATGCTCACCTCCTCGATTTCTCCAGAGCCTCTCCCATCCTCTGGAAGTTCCTACATCAATCTGTCCCGTTATCTCCCACTCTTTCCACCTTCAGGTGATCCCTGAAAATTAATCTCTTCGGGAAAGCCTATCCCAACGCTACACAACAACTGAACTTTTACTTTCTCCATCAACTCATCCCCACACAGTTAACTTCTGTAAAACTTGACCCTACCTTTCAGATTGTAAGCGCTCACCTCTTGCTGTGGTATATGGCTTCAGAGTATAAAAATGATAGTAAAATGTCTGAGCCGGCTATGCTGCAAACAGGGTGGTACCTCTGCATTGCACACCTACTACTTTTCTTGTTAACCTCTTGCCGTCCGCCCGTAGTAAAAAAAACGGACGGACAGCACTGCAGCATTTGCGGGTTGCCGTCTCCAGACGGCAATTTTTTGAAAATTGACCCGACCATTGCACACACCCGTTACCGGGTGTTTCACATATAGGCGATTAGCGGCTCCATAGTGTTTTTTTTTGGGGGGGGTCAGCAGTAGCCCAACAGCATGCTTAGTAACACTAACACCAAAATTCTTAATGGCTGCTAAGGCTTCCCATTTCACATTAGTCTCTGTAATATGTAACTTAATGAACACAATATTGATTATCGTTATTAGCATGAGGGAAAAAAAAAAAAAAAAAGGCTCCTCCCCGGTGCATATGAAATACAGACTTACCTGGGCAAGCTCTCCAATTGTTGCCAAAACATTGGTCACCACTCCAGGGTTAGGATCTGGGTCACGGAGTTTCAAGATCAAAGCCTGGCGAGGAGATAGCATGGTCAGAAAGTGTTTGACGGAACACAGCATACCCACAAGCTCTGGTGTTCGTTACATAAAATTACTAGAAACACATTCGTGGATTTGTGTGTAAAACAGCAGGCTAAAAAAAAAGTTATTTTTTTGAAGAGCAGTTTTGGTGTGCCGAAAAAATGACAGAGGACTGAGTAATAGCAGCAGGTAAGAGACAAAGTTAGGACAGCCACAGAGACAAGACATGGAAACTTTAAAAATGGAATCTACACTCAAAACACGCTAAAAAAAACCATACCTTGAGTATCGGCTCCATGTAAGGGCGGATGAGCCGTGGTGCGTTAGACACCAGGTGACCCAACATACGAGCACTTTGTTCCTTGTTCCTGCCAACGCCACTATGTTCCAGCTCTGTCAGAATCTAAAGATCAAGGAGGATTAGTATTGACCCAGCTAAAAAAGTAAATATCCCAAAACATCAATCGGTTGAATGTAAACTACCTGGATGAGCATCTTGCGCAGGAAAGGCATGACAAAGGCGGGATTCATGCTGCTAAGGCGACCGATCGTACAGATGGCCAATTCTCGTATCTCAAACACCTCGTCGTTCAGAGCCACAAACAAGGCCTGAAGGTTCTCCGCCTGAGCCAGATGCGTATCAAAGCGTTCATCTAACGATGCCAGGACGCAGTAGCGGATATCAGGGTCTACAAAAAAAAAAACAAAGGTAGAAGAATGCCCAGATGGAGTCAACGGTTTTCTTCTTGATACATTTGTACTTTATAATAGGTATAGAGGTCAGGGTCAGCGGGGTTTGGCCTTACCTGGGTCTGTAATTCCGACCACCAGCAGTTTGCTCAGAACATCAGCCACAACCTGCACGGCGGTCTGACTCACATGTCCGTGTCCACTAAGCAGCTGGATAGAGGGGGTCAGCAGGCGGGAGCAGGTGCGGGCAGCTTCCATTCGGATCTCCTTGTGCTCACTGTTCAGGAAGTGATCGGCACAATGCCGCACAAACTGCGTCAGTGAGTGACCTGAAATCAAACGAACAAAACAAACTTGCTACAACCACAGAACCAAACAATGATTTCGACAAATGCCACTTGCTAAATGCGCATATCTGAAAGAAATATAATAATGACACTGGACTTGTAAGAAGCTGTGGGGAAACTACAAATCTTTTCATGCATCTGCCCCTAAAAGCCATGCCTGTCAGTCTTGCAATGCCTAATGGGATTTGTAGTTTCCCCACAGCTGGAGAGCTGATGTTTGGTTACCCTGAACTAGATTATGGTAAAGTGGGCTATGGGGAACGCACTCCTAACATAGCTGTCTAAGCAAAGTAATGAAATGCCATTACCTTCAAACTCAAATGTTCCTAAGGTGCGGAGAGCGAGGGTAATACTGCCCACGTCGCTGGATTCCGGGATATTGGTGAGATTGGGAGAAGAGAGCTGCTGTGCCAGGCCTTTGGGCATCCCTGGGTGCCGGAGAGGCTTGTGCATAAGAACCAGCGACAGCATTTTTAGCAGGCCGTCCTGAATGTCCTTCTTCAGTTGGGGGATGTGACGACTCAGGTCATAGAGCACGGCAGTCAGTGCAGGGCTGAAAGAAGGAGAAGTATTTCGTGAAATTGGTTCGTTACTACCGTTACCTATTTTTCCAACATCACTCAGATAACATACCTCAGCCCCACAGACAGCATGGGCTCCAGAAGTTCCTTAATATCCTGCTGAATGGAGGGACCCATGGCTCGTGCCAGCATGCTGATACAGGTAAACACTGTGGCATCCACCTGCATAGTTTTCTGCCTCCTGTATGGAGAAAGAGTTCATAGTCAGTCTTTCTAAAATGGCTCATGTGGAAAAGCAGCAAATATATGGAGAAATTATCACTCCTGCCTCCAGTTAGAGAGCCACAAATCACCTACTTTACCCTGACATATGTTGTGGTGCAGCTTATTTGTGCATCCAATATACAGTTTGGCTTTGCAGGAAATGTCTCTGGACATTTCTTCAGTGCTTAGGAACTCAGCAATAACTCAATATGAGAACCAAGGGCCCAGTGAGCAGTTCAAGAGGACCCAATATGTAGGGAGAGTTGTACAACAATTTGTGCTGGGTCAGAAGACCCAGCTCTTTAATACGAGGGTCCATGTGCTGACGCACACAGAAAATATAATGTAGCCAGGCTAATGAAAGGGAAACCAAAAAGGATAACTGTACTGTGTCTTAAAGTTGTGTTATCCTTCAAGCACCAAAGCCATTGTGTGGACTGTGGTCATATACGGGTGCAGCAGTCATTTTCTTAGCAGGATTAGAAATGCAGACAACTACAGTTTATCAATTCAATAGGAATGAGTGACATCACTGCTGCTTCAGTCAGGTTCTCTCTCCTGTCATAGTGACATTAGCTCCAAGCAATCCTGAAAGGATACATTCTCTAAAACCGACTCACGAAAACACAATACCAGAGCCGCATCATCTCCATCACAATATTCAGACACTCACTTGTGAGCAAAGTCCTTAGGTGGTAGGGCAGTCTTGACATGCTCCAGGATTTTGGGCAGGTAACAGCGAATCTCTGACCTTACAGCGACAGAGATGAGTCCCAAAGCTTGGAAGGCCACAGTGCGCTCCTTCTCTTTGCGTACAGAGCTCAGAAGGTGATTCATGGTGTCCTGGAGGTACTGATCTGCAGGAACAACAGACAAGTTATGTAAAAAAAAAAAAAAGACAAGGTACAAGATAGTAAACCAATAAAACAAACAAGAGGCAGACTCCAGGGGGCCACTCATTTTGTTGTCACTCTTCTATGTTAAAGCTGAAGTGTAGTGTATGGACATAACTTCCCTTGATCAACATGCAATGAAAAGATTTAAATCCTTCTGTTATTTGAAAGACTACATCCCCAGCACCCTTAAAGTGACATTAAACCCTCAGATTTTTTAACATAAAACAATACTGTAATGTGTGCCTTACTGTAATCCATGGTTGTTTCCCTTCTCTTTGCTGCTCTTCCTTTTAAATCTGGATCTGTTCTCATGCTGGGCAGAACTTCTGTTTTGCAGCAGACTGCCTCGTCTCCGGAATGGATATATGGTGTGTGTGTACATTTGCAACCTGAGCCAGCACTACAGGAAGAGGCAGCCAGCTGCAAAGGGAAGTTCTCCCCCAGCATGAGAAGACATGAGGATTTAAAAGGAAGAGCAGCAAAGAGAAGGGAAACAACCATGGATTAGAGTAAGGCACACATTACAGTATTGGTTTATGTTAAAAAATCTGAGTGTTTAATGTCACTTTAACCTCCCTGGCGGTATGATTATCTCAGTATTATCAGTATATGATTATCTCAGCCACACTCGGGATTACCGCCAGGAAGGTTAAGACCCCGATTCACACTGAGCGATTTGAAGCGCGGTTTACACTCAAATATCGCTCAGTGTAGCTTGTCCAATGCATCTCAATGTCGCATGTAGATCAAGCTTGTCCCTCAAACATGACCTTGTTTTCCAGTGGATTTTGTGTGATTTGGCCCCAGTAGGCTACCAAAAGAAAGCGCTACGTAGTGCGACAAAATGTGCACTGTAGCTCAAAGTCGCTCAGCTCAAATCAGCGCTGAAATTTTTTTTTTTTTTTTTTTAATGTAGCTCAGTGTGAATGGAGTCTAATAGTGCTTGCTCCTCCCTGCTGGCCACTGGGTGCTACAGACTTTAGCTGTTCAATATGCACATCCATGGGGATGCCAGGGAGGGGGGTTCTTTCATATAGTGCTTAGAAAAACCAGTACAGTGACTGACCCCAGCCCTAAAGATTAGGGATGCACCAGTACCGATGCAGAGTATTTGGGTGAGTACTCGTACTCGCCCAAATGCTCCGATACCTAGCCCAATACGCGAACTTTACACACTGTCTTTACACATCATTTTCAGGCCTAAAATGTGGAATATAACATGGGTGCAAAAATGGAAAAAAGGGCCTCAGTCATGAAGGGGTTAAATGGGACTTCCGGTATGGGTATTCAGTATCAGCGAGTACAGAAAACAAAATATCGGTACTCACACTTGATACCGAAAAACCGATATCGGTGCATCCCTACTAAAGGTCATGCCACGAGAAGAGCCGAAATGACTGATAGAGAAAGTCAACAGCTGTGAGAGGTGGGCCAATGACAGTATGGATCAGAAGAAGAGGGGACTGATGATGACTGAAGTTGTATAGACAGGAAATGAACGTGGGCACAAGATAGCTCCTGCATCTTCAAAGGGTTATATTGCGGGGCTGTAAGTTTACAGGGAATTGAGAGTTATCCGTTTCAACTCAGGAGAGAACCTGCTACAGGTGTGGGGAAAAAAAAATGGCTGCAGTAAAGTTTCCCCAATTGAAGTCCATCATGAACAATTCCTACCTGTAAATGCACAAGGCTTGAATGCTGCAAGACGAGGAAGGACGTTGAGAATGGTCATCTGGAATAAAGGGTTCTTGCTGCTTCGACACTTTAAGACCCAACGACAAATCTAAGAAACAAATTGTGAAACACTGAATTAAAACAAAGAACACATGGAGCTGGAGGCAAGAAAGAATAGAATGTGCCCGTACCTGGTCAAACTTTTCCTCCACGAGCTCCCGACAGGTGCGGCTTTCCACCAATGTAGACTTGTCAGGCATGGGGGCGGTTCCATATCCCAGAATTCCCTGCTGCCCAGTGTATCCCAGAAGGCTCAACAATGCATTGGAAGGCTGTGGCTGGACTGACTGAAAGCTGGCAAATGGGGTGATGTGTCGGGGCTTGAGGCCAAAGGTCATGAGGTCCTTACAATGCTTGTCGTGGACCAGCTGCTGCTGAGTAATCTCTTCCATCTCCTCTCTCAGACGCTAAGTGACAGGAATAATATTATGGTAGTTACGATCATTAAGTGGACATGATCTTAAAAAGTAAAAATGTGCTAAGTTATATGAAATTGTCCCTAAACAGCACCCTGAAAATGTACCTGCCGTCCTTAATTCCTGTGCCTCATAGCTGTATATCTGTGTGAGATCATCTAAGGCACTGCTGCCTCTGAATGCTCGCCTCAACAGATATGGAGTGAGATTCGGTGATGTCATTCCGGTGCTGCTTTCTGTCCTCCTTGCTGAACAGGAAGCAGTACCTGGGGACCTGTAGTGCAAAGATCTCCCTGCGTCTGTCATTCATTCTGTGGATCTGTGCTTTTAACACCTTTAGTACTACTGTTTGATTATTCCTCTAGCACTTATCAGATTACCAATCATCAGACAGGCATCTCCGACATTAGGAAGCCAAGCCTGGTTGCTATACCAAGATGGCGGCCTCCGCATAACAAGGCATGGTAAGTCAGTAATGGGGGAAAAAAGATCAGCTTTTTTATGGGCACAGTATAGGTCCTCTTTAAACAGCCCCTAACATTTGCTTCTACCCCTGTTGTGTTAAATTTGTAATGCCGTGGAGCAGTGGGCACCATCCTACACACCTTCTGGGAATGCCCTCTCCTCCACGGGTAGTGGGTGGAGGTCTTTAACATTATTAGCACCGTAAGCTCCATCAGAATGGATCCCACCCCTGATTTGGCAATTCTGAACTTAAAGGAGAACTATGAGGTGAGTGCTTTTCACTCACCTCATAGTTCTAGCCGACCTGTGACAATGAGACTGTCACAGGTCGGCTCAGTAGATCGGGAGGTGAGCGAACACATGCCGTGACAGGGGAGGGGATGGATTCCCCCCTTCCCGCTCCGATCCGCCAGCGCTGACTGGCGGAACGGATGGGGGAGGGGGCGGGTACAGCTGGCTCTGCCTGTAGATAGGCAGAGCCAGCTGTCACTCACGCAGCTGGGCGGATCTCGACATCGATCTCGGCGTCTGAGTATACAGCTACAGCTCGTGGTATACTGAGCTTAGGGTGACGGGAGGACGCTAGTTTGTGTCCTCCCGTTACCCTAAGGAGAACTATGGGGGAAAAACACTGACCACATAGTTCTCCTTTAAGGATCAAGATTTTTCCACCCAGTAACAGAATTGTTATTACTCATGTCCTACTAGCTGCACGTCTCCTTATAGCCAGGAATGGGAAAACGCTTGAGGCCCCATCCCTTACCCACCTCATCCATCTAGTACAACTCCATTACAAGTCTGAAAGGACTATAGCATTTCATAGCGACAAAAATAACCAGGTTGATGCCCTCTGGAGACCATGGACCGAATGGTTCTCTACATTCGAACGCACTACCCACTAGACTCTTGGGTTAAGGTAGGCCTCCCGACCGATTTAGGCAGGGAAAGACTGCACTCTACCTACTACATTAGAAGCGAAAGTGATATCCCTCTATACACTACCCTTCATAATGGCTTAGACGTTGTTATAGGCGGATTCTGCCACTTACGATACTAACTGTGATTCACTAAGCTCTGTTTTGTTTTTTTGTGTTTTGCCTAATTATACGACTGTTACATGTGGTATTTGACCACAACACAAAATGTAAATGTGTGATTCTGATCACAGGCAAATGTTTGTCTGATTGTTTCCAAATTTTGTACTGTTGGAAAACTTAATAATAAAAAATAAATAAATACATTTCTGGAATTTGTGATGTCATGGTCTAAAGCAGTGGTTCCCAACCTGTGTAACCTCGGGACCCACATTTGTCCTTGGTCATTAAGTCGTGACCCAAGTGGTGCAGGTGATCGGACTGTGAGTGGGAGGTTCGTTTGGGGTGTCAATCAAATTAATGGCAATGTAAGGCACCTTCCACACTAGAACATGCAATAGGTGCGATTGCGTGGTACAGTGCATTAATCACATGGGACAGTGTGATTAACGCACTGTACTAGTTCAACTGACCCTCAGAAACACTGACAGACACACAACCACATTCAAACACACATACACACTCCAAAAATATATAATTTGTTTTTTTTCCAAGATCCACACGGTCTCCCTACCTTATGAGAACTGGAGTGGATCCTCAGCCTGGTGTCCAGTGTGGGCTGCTGTGCTGCGATGGAGCTCCATCCATATCTGCATTGCTTGTACAGCTCCTTTGCGTGCCCTGTAGGGGTGCCGAGAGACCGAATGTGACGTCAGTCCAGGCACCTCTACAGGACACGTGAGAGCGGTAAGGAATGATGTATGGACGGAGCTTCCTTATGGCCATATTTCCAGCCCACCCCACCTCAAGCTGGACATGCAGGGCCGGGCAGCATATTTTGAATGGCTGCTCAGCACAAGAACTTATGGTGCTGCGCTAGAGGGAGGCTGAGGAGTCTCTCACCTAGAAGGAAGGCATGGGGTGACCCCCTGAACATGGATGAAGAAATAATGTCACCCGCACACCATAGTAGTAAAGCAATAGTCCATTTAATGACACATTGCCATTCGATGCAAGCGCTTTTCGGGGCCTCAGGGGCTCCCCTTCATCAGGCTCAGAGCCTGATGAAGGGGAGACCCTGAGGCCCCGAAAGCGCTTGCATTGGCAATGTGTCACTAAATGGACTATTGCTTTACTACTATGGTGTGCGGGTGACATTATTTCTTCATTTATGGTATACACGGTGCCGTCCGTGGTCACTACGAGCACCCACCGACCCATATGGGTTCCTTCCGGTAAGGAGTGCAGCAAGACCTCTGGTTCTGACCCCTGAACATGGATTCGCGACCCACTTTTGGGTCACGACCCACCAGTTGAGAACCAAGGGTCTAAAGGTATCTTTGCAATAGCTCCTGCTTTCTATGAAGATTCTCTTCCACATACACCAAGTTTTTCCCCTTCTTTCTCCTCGTGTTTCTTATCTTTTTACCCACCTCGCCTTCCATGCTGCTGATCCGCACTAACTCATTGATGATCAGCAGCGCTCCGTGGATTCGATCATCTCTGTTCATCCCCTTTTCCTTAGACAGGGTCTCATCGAATCCTCGCTCCGCTTCCTCAAAAGTTTGCTAAACAGTAAAACAATTAACAATGATATACGGTTTGTAAGATGTCATATAAGCCTCTGTCTTCTCCAGACTAACACAGAAGGAAAAGCCCCAGTCTGTTCACAGAATCACAAATGCAGGTCCTCACCCGGTACCACAGGGGTTTCTGTAGCTCCTTGGGTTCACGTTGCGTGGTCAGAATCAGGCAGGCTCTCAGGGCGGCCACTGCCCCTTCCCTGATGGCTTGTTTGGGATCCCATACGCCATAGAAGATGTTGTCGAAAAAAGGTTGCACTTGCTGGAAGAAAAATGTGGGTGCACTTACGGCCAATTCCTTCAAAACAAGAACCTGCAAGAGAAAAAGAAAAAAAAAAAAAACAAGGTTTAAGTTTAAAAGAAACTCTGTTACTTTGCCTGTTCTGGGTGATAGGTTCTCTTGAATCAACAGCCTCCGACTAGCTAACCCTCACCTATACTGCACTCCCATGCTGCTCAGTCAGAGAAATAAAGAAATACCCAATGAAGTGCAGCTTATAAGCATTCTTCCTGTACCATGACCCCCGCTGACCTCGGGGGGGGG